ATCCAGGAAGAGGGAGCATATCAGTCCTGTCCTAGCGTCCCTCCATTGGCTCCCAATACACTTCAGAATCAGGCGCTCTGTTTGTTTTTAAAGCCCTGAATGGTTTGCCCCCCCCTGTCCATTACTGACCTCCTCAGCCCGTACACCTCATCTAGGCCTCTAAGATCAAGCCCCTAAACTGTGGAATCGTCTCCCTCATCCCATCAGGTCTGCACCCTCTGTTGACTCTTTCCCGTCCTGTCTCAAAACATATTTTTATATGTTAGCATTTGAGTCCTCTGGTCCTGAATGGATCGTTTCTCTCAGGTTCCTTTGGTTGCTTTCTTTATTTTTGTGGATGTTGTGAACTCCTGTATATAAATATTTTTTTGTATGCATTGTACAGTGCTTTGGTCAGCTGCTGCTGTTTTTAAATGGGCTTTATAAATAAATGTGAGTTGACTTGACTTAAAGCCTGGAGACACTTTGAGTTTTACATTTTTCATCTGAAATGTCTCGGAGAGCTGAAATAAAATTCAGTTTGTCAATTCTGATACTTCACTCATGGTTTGAATTGTTTATAACTGTCGAATGGCTCTAGTGTCTCGAATGTGAAGAAATGCAACTCTTTTCTGAACGCTGTTGTTGTGCATTGAACATCTCTTGGTTTTTGGACCCTTGGAGGATAAAAAAAAAAAACATATGACATCACCTTGGACTCTTTGTAATGGCCAATTCTCTCTGTTTTCTATCAATATATGAAATGAATGAAACATTTTAAATCCATCAGAATCATTTGAGAGAGTTAAAGATTCTTACAAAGTGGCTTCAAGATGTCATGGGAATAGTATGAACATACATGTACCTGCACATGCATGGACATCTGCCTGCGTCCGTATTCAGCCCTGGTGTAGTCATCGCTGTAGCTGTGGGAGTGGATGATGCTGGGCTGTCCCAGGTGACCGTCCCGGGTCCTGAGGGTGGACAGGTCCTCACTGCGAGAGAACCCCCCGTGGGCAAACTGTGGCAAGTAGCCCTGGTGAGACGAATCATCTGGAGCGAGGAGCAGGGGCGCTGGGGGCTGGGCGCGGCTGTGCTGGTGGTGGAGCTGTTGTTGAGGCCCGTCAGCGGTCGCCAGATGAAAGAGGGGATTCTGGAAGGAAAGCGGGTAGCGCATGGCGGCGGCCTGCTGTTGCTGCTGCTGGGATAGCGAGTCGGTGGTGGTGCCCATCTGGCTCAGCTGGCTCAGCCGGAGGCCGCCGGACATGCTGGAGCCGCCAGAGCCAGCTGACAACCTCCCACCGGCCCGCAGCTGGCTGCTCAGGCCCGACCCCAGGCCGCCACCGCCTCCGCTGCTCAGCCCTCCGAAGCTGCCCATGCCGGCGATGGAGGCCTGGGAGGAGTTGAGCATGTCCACCGACTGCAGGTTAGACACGCTGTTCATTCGGGAATCCTGGAGGTCCATCATAGATACGCTTTTATTGACACTGAGCACCTAGATATTACGGGATATGAAGGGCTAGTGTGCCCCCTGTTATTATGTATGCTAGGTGGCCACGGATGATATGGGTGAGGGTGGTGCGGGTGTTTTTACCGCGAGGCCTGGATATCGGAATGCCTCAAAGTATTTCCCAGGAAATACCGTTAGGATGAGTTGCGTGGTGAATCAGTGGAAAAAAAGCAGATGTCATGATATACTACAGCCTCGATCACACGATGGCAGATTCATTAAGTATGACTCACATGCATGTCATACTAACCTCACGTAGATAAAGAGATTAAAAACTAGTGGATGGGATGATTATTCCCGAGGTTCAGTGTGATAAGACTCACCTTAGGGTCTGGTTCTGTGATGTCCGAGCTGCTCGTGCAGTAGGCCGGGCTGGAGCGGGCCAGGGGAGGACGTGAGACGTAAAACATGTCTTTGGAGGACGCTCGATGGGGGTGGTCACGGTCCTGGAAACTCATCTGGTTGCGCGATGGTATGACCCCTCCGGCGGACGTAGGTGAAGGCAAGCGAGTGACATCTATAGAGCTGGAGAAGAGCGGTGAGTTAGGACAGGAGTGGCGACAGCAGAGACAAAGAAGAAGACGAGGCAAATTGTCTCTACTAACAGAAATGGTACTTTACTCAAACGCCACATTCAACAGAAATGTTTTGAGCCCTGATTTAAATGATTCAACTGTTGTAGCACACCCCAGATACTTTGGCAGTCTGTTCCAGTGGTGAGGGGTTTAAAAAACCAAAAGCTGCCTCAGCCTAATTGGTTCTTATTCTGGGCACACTGAGGAGGCCTGCCCCAGACGACCTGAGGTGTGTGAGTAGGTCTGAGAGGTATTTAGGCTCAAGACCATTAAGTCATTTAAAAACAAGTAATAGGATTTTAAAAACTACCCTTTGGGACACAGGTGCTACAAATTATCTTCAGACAATCGCTGGTGAAAATGTTGCAGGTCCAAGCCTGTTGGGAACTGATGCATTGCGCCATAACTTTTTCTCTTAAAAGTTCAGGATATCACCAACCTGTTAAGATTCGGCTTCATGAAATTTTGAAACTCGGACGAGATGCCCCTGTTGAAGCTCGGCCGTGACAGCAGCCTGTCCGCCTGTCTCTCCTGCACCCTGTCTATCTGATGGCTGGGCTGCCTCTGGAGGTGAGGGTTACGCAAGGCCATACTGATGTCATTCAGGAGGCGAGGCAAAGGACCCAGTTTGATGATGGCATCCTGTGGTTAAAGGAAGAAGAAACTGAGCTTTGCTGCATCAAATAGAAAATATCCTTGACTTTTCATTAAAATGCCGAACGTCCATTTCCGCTCACCATGACTTCATGAGTTGATGACAGCCTGAGTAATGACTAACTGATAATAAAGTTTAGAGAAAAGTGAGGCATTTTTACAAATGAAACCCTGAAGTGACACATCCAGTATGAGTTGGATTAGTTCAGGGTCAAAATAAAACTTTAAGTGTTTTTCAAGAGGTGGACAAACCGATCTGTATAACATTTATCTGTTGTTGTAAAAGTTTTTTTTACGTATATCTTACAGGTGGTTTCAAGTTTTGTTTAATAAACTAATACCTTCAAACCCTGTCTAACTAACTGGGCAAGTAGCACTACTAACAGAGAAAAATAAATATATAGGACTTAAGGACTTGTTGTCATAAAATCTTTTGTTATACGTATTATGCAAAATAACCATGTTTTTTCTAACTACGTGTCCCTAGTCTGTCTTCAAACCCTATCCAAATATGAGAAAAGTCCATTCTCTTCTTCTTTTGCCTGCTTCAGAAAACGTGTGCTCAAACAGGCCGATTGGAGATTTTCCCTTCATGACATCACAAAGGGCAGTAACCCCTCCCCCAGGTGGATGACACTCCCACAGCTAGGTGTTTGTTCTGCCCTCTGAGTCTGCCTTCTCACCGTAAACAATAGGACATGGAGAGAGAAAAGCCAGAACCACCCAAGCCCTTCCAGAGAGGGGGCGTGGTCAGACACAGTTCATTTACATATTTAAAGATACAGACACAGAAACAGCCTGATCTGAGCAGGCCTGATCTGAGCAGGCCTGAAATAGCGGGGTTTATAGGCATGATCAAATACAGGACCAGTGGATTAAGAACAAGAAACTTCAAAGACATTATTTAGGAGCTCTGAGACTGATTCATGCAGGCCTTCATGCAGCACTAACTGTTGCTGCGCTGCTAAGAGTCAGATGCCTTATCCCAGTGAAGACCTAAGTTAGTCAGTGAAAGTCACCAAAGGGAAATAAAGAGGGACTATCCGTCTGGGAGTGAAACGAGAGGAAAAGATAAAGTAAAGCAGCGGTGAGTGGTGAAGATAATGACCGCTGAATATAAAAGTTAAAGAGTGAATGCTGCAAGTCTATTTTGGCACCTGATGATGTTGCATCTGTTGGTCTACCTTGCTGAGCTGAGCCATAACCTCCCAGAGAAGACTGTGCAGAATCGACAGCTCCCTGCCGAGGTCGATGTATCCCTCAAAGCCGCCTGCATTGCTGACACTGTCCAGGTTGGAGATCTCATACAGGAACTGCTGCATGGAGCCCCACTCCATCTCTAAAAACTCATTCATGAAACACATGTACTCCTCCTTGTTGCCGAACCTGAGGGGGTAAAGGAACGAATGCCAGTGAGGAGAAAGAAGAAGAACAATATGAAAGAAAACAGGAGAGAAGCCAGAAAAAACAAGTGAAACGCTGAAATAAATGTCAACTCCAGTCAGCATACATAGAAACTGTTGAATTGAGGTTATGTTTCCTAAAAAAAACCAAAATGTCTTCCACTGCCATCTTGTCAAGACCAAAATAGTACAAGACCTTCCGTTGTTTCATTTTAATTCTCTGTCATTAACCCTTTTCATGTCATTGTTACGTGCTGCCCTGTTCTCTCTCTCTCTGCCTCTACCTGCTGCACACCTGAGGAGGAAAGGGAGGGGTATTTAGAGGAACCAAGTAGGAGAGACAGGGGCACACACACTCTGGGCAATGAGAGATTTTTCTTTTTTTTTTTTGGGCTGGAGATCATCGACAGTCCTATTTTGGTCTTTTGTTGTTTTGTTGGCTAGACTTTTCTTCGTAGTTACTTTTAGGGGAAGGTGTCGAGAGCAGCGACCCCTTATGTGTATGGCTTAGGACTTTCCCAGCTTTTGTTCTTTTTGGCCAGGTCTCCAGCCCCATTTGTTTCTGTGGTTTCTTATTTGTCATTGAATACTTTGAAGGGGGAGCTTAAGTTGATAATTTTGGTTAAGGAGGCCATAACAATCATGCTCCAATATGACTCAGGTTATTTCAAGAATTATGGGCAGAGCAGTGAAGGAAGAACGAACACAGTTAAAATGTTAATATATGGAGGTTTTTGTTCAATGGATTTCCGTTTAGAACATCTGTTTTCTTGTAATCCCAGAAAGGTTTTTAATGTCTGATTGCTTTGTTTCTTTACGCGACACTTAATATATACGCTTGTAAGAAACAATTTAGTATGCAGCAGTATAAATGTAAATGAAATTATACAGAAAATGAAAGAATACTGACTTGGAGAAGTTGGCCAGGTTTTGCACTACTTTTGCAATGAGGGTGAGCGTGCGTGACGTCTGCTCGTCAGGATACTCCTGGGTGAGATTGAAGAGCGATGGTGACATGATGGCGGGACACAGGAAGCGCAGGAAGAGGGAACCGCTGATGAGACGGTCGGCGATGTCTTCCCGACCCCTCTCAGCACAGCGCACTCTCCAGGAGGCAAAGACTTCCTTTAGCTCTCGAGGGAAAACACTGTGGAGAAAAAAAAAAAAAACAAGATGAGGAAAGTTAAAGTTTCTACAGTTTCCCAAACAATAACCTGAAGTCTCATGCATTTTTAAAAGAGCAGAGAGGGATAAACACACCAAAAAAAATGACTTATTCTGCTTAATACTCACCAATGGGAGTTGACAATCTTACAGAGTGCCAGTTCACAGCACATTCGGAGATTGGCTTGGTGGTCTGCGAGCACAGAGGGTGGTGTTCTCATGGGATCCACTTCACAATTTTCCTCTGACTCATACAAGGCTCTAATGAACTCCCCTGCAAATGACATTTCATTAGTAACAGCAAAACAGTGCAGATTATTAGATCAGGCTAAGGGTCTGAAATACAGAAAAGCAGAAACAACAGAAACTGATAGAACTAAAGGAAATGAAATAGTATCTCAAATATGTTTCCATCAGCAGCAAACTCAATAAAGTAACCTTGGTGGTAGGCTAATTAGCCATTCAGCTAAGTGAGGCAGCGAAAAGGTCAATGTTGGAGCTACAGTAGGTAACGGTACATTTTGTTTAGCCCACCTAAAACTCCGAAAGAAAACATTAAAGATGAGATTTTGTAGCTCCATCCATTATCTTTATCGCTTTTCCTGTTGGAGGTCGCGGGGGGCTGGAGCCGATCCCAGCTGTCATTGGGCGAGAGGCGGGGTACACTCTGGACTGTATGCCAGTCAATCACAGGGCTGACATATAGAGACAGACAACCAGCCCCACTCACATTAGCACCTACTAATTCAAATTATTATTATGTAGGTTATATAAGAGGAAAAAAAAAATCTAATTGGACCAAACAATCTGGCATAATTACCTCAATTGAAGGTAAACAGATCGGCTGCCAATACAATGTTGATGTCAATGATCTAAACCATAGCAAGCACACTGACGTTTCAATTTTTCAATCTGAGAAATGTTGCTACAGACAGACCATATCATAATCTTCCTGAAACAAAGGAATTGATTATTGAGATTATTGCAAAACTCTCTTTACACTACATGGTTACCAATCATCGTCTGATCGTCTCTGGGAGCGGATGCAAATTTTCTCTGCAATTCTGGTGAAGCCAGAGGTTAGCTTTGCAATTAACGGGATTAAATTTGTCCAAATAACATCCAAATGCATATTCAGTGAAGCTTTGTCAAGTGTGACCTCAAGAGGAGACAAAAACAATGTTTAAAATGCCTGTTGGTTGAATGGAGGTTTAATCGATCATTTCATTTCATTTGAGTTGGAAACTTCGATGTCTCTCTTTCAGTTGTAACATTGCGAGAACTCTGTTTTAATGCACCTAGACAGAGCATCCCTGAGTGGGTGGGGCCATCGCTCTTCCCCCACATTGTGGCCGGGCTAACGGTTGGACAGTGAGGGGTTCCCTCGAAAAGACAAACAAACATATGAAACATGTTTGAGCCTCAGAGCGAAACATGACTGGTAAATGGACTTGAGCTTGTAGAGCGCTTTTCTACTCTTCTAACTACTCAAAGCTCTTTTACACTGCAGGTCACACCTACACATTCACACACTGATGGCAGAGGTTGCTTTGTAGAGTGTCCATCAGAAGTAACTAATCATGCACGCCGTGTCTTGCCCAAAGAGATGGGGATCGAACCCCTGTCCTTCCAGTTGAAAGACGACCGACTCTACCAACTGAGCCACAGCCGCCCCAACATAAACAAGCTGAGTGGAAACACTGTCCTGTCCGTGTAAACACAGAGCTGAGAACAACAAATCCAAACCGGTGTTCAACTTCATTCTCTTTTTACAAAGTCTTTCCTCCACTATCATATCTACTTAGAGTTTATTTGATTTTTCCCACAGAGAAATTCAGAATGTATCATCAAGAACCATTACTTTGGGTTTAGTATACCTTTTCAACCAAACTATCATCAGGGAAGGAAAAACAATGACACAGCCTGAGAGAAACTGGCTGAGGATTTACCTTTTAATTAAAAGTTGTGCAATTTCAAAACTTCCAAAAGTCAATCTCCTGAATTAGAAATTACTTTCACATAAGTTTGAATATTTCCAACAGCTGCTTCCGTTTATACATTGACGTACTCAAATGTCAAGTGCCTCGCTGTTCAGACTCACCTATAGCGTCCTTGAGGTACTTATGTCCGATCAGTTTGAGGTACTCTTCTATGGCTTTGGTGGCCAGAGTGTTCTCTCTGAATATAAGGTGTTCTCGGTCGATGAATCTGTCCACCTCGCACATCGCCATGTCTGACAGGAAATCCTGGAGGAAAGATCAACTGATTATTCATCTATAATATATCATTGGAAGCTTGATCCAAAGGAAACTGGACTTGAGACTCAAGGACAATATTTTCTGCTCATCAGGATGTAAAAGCTTTAGCCCCGTTTCCACCGACCGGGTAGGTTTGGTTCAGTAAACCCTGATCTTGCTCACGTTTCCACAGCCAACCTTATCCTTACACATCACGAAATCACAACGACATGACAAAGTGCAAACTGCCAATAAATTCAATAAATAATAAGAACGTGACACAGAAGACAAAGATCAATGATTCCCAGGAAGGTCTGCATGTCCAAGGAAAAAAACTAAAACAGCCTTGAAATTACCCTCTCCCAATCCTCAGGATATTTAATGTGGTGTGTTTTTTGTTTGTGCTTTATTACTGTTGTTGCATGGGAAATGAAGATTCTTTCGACCAATCAATGGACTGAAGTGTGTCTAGCTCCAACCTTTAGGGTCTGATCGATACGCTTGGCACCCCAGCAGAAGACTATAGCCACAATACATTAGGCACGCGTACTATCCAATGCGCCACCAGCATCACACCCTTCCCAACTTATGACAGTGGAAACGCCAATGCATGTGTACCGTACCAAACCAAACTGAACCGGACTGCTTGGTGTAAACGGTGCTTTTTGTTTTCACACATTTAAAAGTCAAAGAAGAGGCGTCCCTTACCTTAGCTTTCCCTGTGCTCTGCAGTATATGCACCAACGCACAGGCCACCTCCTCTTTGCTCTTCACACTCAGCACGGGCTCCAGCACGGCACACAGGGTGCGGTAGTTATTGGTGACGTACTCGGCAAACTCCTTGTACAGCTCCATGGGCAGGATGTTCATGGTCTGGAAGCGGGACTTGAGGCGTAGGGATGCGTTGATGATCTTCCCTCCACCGACGCCGGCTCCCTTGGTGAGGACACTGGGCTGGATGACAGGGTACCACTGCTCCACAAACTGACGTCCAGTGATGCTGGAGATGGGGATGCTTACAAGTCCTAAGTATGTGCTCTTTTCCTTCGAGGGGGAAAAAAAAAAGAAAAGAAGATATCAGTCAAGATGAGCAACTGTCACAGAAGAGAAGTCTCCCGTTTAGCCGCGCTGTTAGGATTCCATTAAAATAATCTCAGAGACTTGAATTGCAGAATAAGTTCATTTAAAGCTTTAGCACTGAATAAATTATGAGAATAAAGACTAACACTGGATCCCTGGAGCGTCTTTGGAAGCTACACATGACTGTCTCTCTGTGCTGCTGCTGCTGCTACTCTCGGCCTCAAATGAGAATATGACTTACTGAATTTGTGACTTTGTATTAACTCCTTTGCTTTTTTAATGTTGAAAAATGAAAAAAAACCTTGAAGGAGCGAACAACACAATCTTTACTGATTAAAAACACAAAACGGCCTTATTGCTGTGTATCTGCAGGGGGCTGATAGGGTCGCTGATCCATGGCAGTGACTCAATGATTAATTCATCACTTATGATTGTTTTTTTCTTCTTCTTTAAAGCAGTCTAAACATCCTCACTGCATCCTGAAGACTCTGGTTTTCTCTCCAACCCAAACTACGGACGTAGTATGACTACAACTCTTCTGTTCTCAATCCAAATCAAAAGATCAACAGGCGAGACCCCATTTAGTTATTGTCTTTTTTTTAATCTAACTTTACGCTTCTTCAGGGACAATAAAAAAGTTCCTCTCAAATTGTAAACAGACATAAAAACAAATTCCATAAATTCTTTATAGATTAATTAGATTTTCCATTTAACTGGATCAGGTTTTTTTATTTTTAATTTTAATGTTTTTATTTTTATTTTTAATCTTTGGCCTTCATTTTAGAAACAGGACAGTGTACAGAGTCAGAAACCGAGGACAGGGAGTGAGTGGGGAACGACTTGCGGGACAGGAGCTACAGGCCGGATTCCAACTCGGGCCGCCCGCTTTCGAGGAGCTTGACCTCTGTACATGGGGCGCACGTACTAGCCACAAGGCTACCGGCGCAGCATCGGATCAGGTCTTTGACCAGTTTAAGTCCTGTTAAAAAATATCAAATCATTTTCAAAAGTTTAACCCTTCAAATGCCAGTTTGTACATAATGCTGCAGATTTTAACATTGCAGGCCTGTACCACTTCGAGGTCACTGAGGTGTGCTGACCAGTTGTTTTCAGACATTCAAACCACAAGGTTGAAGACCAGAGGAGCTTTTTCAGCTATTAATCTTATTAATTAATCTGCCTGTTGGAAACCTAAACAATGAACTCGCTTTGAGGAGCCAAAGATTTAGGTGATAATAACTCCTTTTGAACCTGCTTAATCTTTTGGATACCTTGCGTCTCTTCTTGTCCGTCTCCTTGTATAGATGAAGGCGTAGGTTGCGGACGGCAGGCAGGTTGTTGAATTCAAAGTGCTCGCCCCAGAAGACGGTGTCGGTGCGGGGCTTGCTGGTGGTGCGTGCATACAGCATGTCGTCCAGGCAAAGTTCGCAGTAGTAGCGTTTCTTGGCTGGAAGCTCTCGGGCCTCGATGATCCAAAGTTTGAGCACATTGTCCACCCTCCGGCTGTTGTCCTGCGTGGAGATGAGGTCAGGTCAAATAAGGATGAAGTGCATCTTGTAAAAGAGACAATCAAAAGCTGCACAAAGAGAAGATGAAACCATGCAGCAACATCAAAACATGACACAACAAAGAAGAAAAGTTCAGAGATATGGAAACAGCGACAGTTTGTGTGTGTGTGTGTGTGTGTGTGTGTGTGTGTGTGTGTGTGTGTGTGTGTGTGTGTGTGTGTGTGTGTGAATAAGGGGTGACAGCAGGTCAGCCTGCAGGAGAACAAAGTCAATGACAGGAAAGAAATAGCTGGCGACATGGCGAGCGAGCTTCTGTGGATTGTAGGCAGAGCTTGATGAATTGCTCTTCACTCTGAACATGAATACGGAGACAGAAGACAGCGTGACAGCGACACAGAAATGAGAAGATGAGAGAAAATGTGAAGGAGAAGAGAGGGAGAGTGGACTCACTGGATGAAAAAAGTCATCCACTTAAACGTACTAAGACACAAATGACACAATGCATCCAAAGCGAGGGACAAACAATGGTGCTGATGTTTCTGAAAACAGCTACACTTCCCAATCATGATCGCAAAGCCCCCGCTATATTTGACATCCCCATGGGGGGGAGAGGAAGCCGCCTTGATTGCACAGCGATGCCTCAGTGAACGGGGGCTGAGTCATTTCAATCGGGCTCCAATGCCATCGCTGTTAGTCCGCTGTTTGCATCAGACTATTCCAGTTCTTATTCAGATGGCTCTATACGTGAGCATCAGCTAGATCCACACTTGTTAAGTTGTCCATTTGCATGCTCTTTGATAAGCAGCGCCAAGCGCGAGGTATAATTAATTCCAAACTCCTGCGTTTGAATGTGCTGGGCATCTGGTGGCTCAGTTTGCTAGTGCACACACGGTGCAGCAGCACCAGCATGGGCTCCCCTTCTCCATCTTGATGTCGTGTTATATCTTACTCTACATTCTGTCATATCTCAGATTTACTACCCAAAAAATGAGGGGGAAAAAAAAACACCAAAGCAGGGTGAAGTGGCTGCTCTCCATTTGAGAAAAAAAAAATCAAAGAGGGAATTAAAACGCTCTAGAAAGTTAAGAAGCGTAATGATAATCCTGGTCTCTGCAGCGAGTCTTATCTCTGTCGTTGCATCTGGTCTGAGGAGCACGGAGCGTGTTGTTTTGGGGTAGGAGGGGGATGGTTTTGGAGACAGTCCCCCCCGCCGAAGTGCAGTTCTTGGAGCTCCATGACTCAGCCAGGACACCCGCGGCCCGGGCATCTGGACGAGGCATTCAGCTCGGGTGATGTTTCATCTCAGCCTGGCTTAATAACGGCTAGTCCCTGGTCGCCTTCAAAGCTGCATATCTCACATGCCTGTTCACTCTTTCTAATAACAGAGAGAGGGAGATGTGGGATGATTTTACACCACTATGAAATCTGGGTCAAAATTAGGATATTAGTTTTACTCTGAGTTGATTTGAAGAGCTTAGGTTTGTTGTTTTATTTAAGCTGTGAGGATGGAAATAGGGTCACGGCGCTTTAAAGCTGCACTAGGAAAGATTTTTAAATGACAGAAACACCACCATATCAACTTTGAATCATACAGTCCTGCTGCAAATACTCTGTTTTTTAAATAAGGGAACACTGACATTGGGCCTCATGCAAGAACATTAGGCGTGTAGAAGTATTCAGACTTCCTTCAATCCTTTAACTACAACCTAAATCCCCTCATTTCAGCCTGATGAGTTCCCCGGATTCACCGAGACGTGCTTGTTCACAAGATTGAATCATTAGCATACTAGATGCTTCTAAAGGATGCCTGTTCAGCTCTGTTTGTGGGAAAACGAATGCTACCGAAAAAAGTGAAAGGAGAATTTAGCGCAGCAGAGATAACGGCCTGCAAAGCTCTGTACTGTAGCAGAAACAAAGAGGGAATTATTCGGAGTGAGGTTAAGGTTAAGGTCGATAGTTTTCAAACTGTTCCCGAGCACGATTGCTCCCCGCTTCCCCTCGCTCCCTCTGGTCTGCTTCCATATTTGTAACATCGTTCCATGCCTGAGTACACATACATATGTACACAGTCCAACACAGCAGGTGGCAGTATGCACATAGTTGGTTTGCAAATCTGCCAAGAAGCAGAAAGAGGAAGACGCAACTATGTAAACAACTCGCAGGCTGAGTCCGTCCTGCTAACTGTGATTGTCTTTTTTATGATTTATTTTACTTTACAGAGACGCCAACAACGATCCTCTTCCTACTTCCACATCCATGGTGCAGCTCGAGGGACAAAATGGGCCCGTGTATGGCGACTTTTGAAGTGATAGGAGCTGTTTAGAATGACATAGTAAAGCAGTCCACTTCCTTATATGTGCACAGTTGAGTTCACACGTCTCCCACTGACCGTACTCGAGGAGGCTATGGCACGGCACCCGAGTACGGCACGTCTGATCTCTGATCAAATCAACCAGACTTTGGGGTCAAGTCTACTAGAATCTGGGCCCGGGTCCCTCATGTGAAACGAACCTAAATGTTGGAAAATGTCAAATTTTCATGACTGATATAGAGAGATTCAAAAGGAATGGACTGGGTATCTGATCTCAAGCCAAATGTAATTTTTCCTAATAAAGAGTGGTAGACAATATGCACATGACTTGAACTACAGGTCAGGATGACTTGAGTATGTTTCGTTCTTGCGAGAAAATCACTGAATTACAGAAATCTCTTGAAACTGCAGTGAGGAATTTTTGTGGTCTTGGTGCCTCCTGTAGACAACGCAAAACATTTCTATCTTCTTGCTGATCTTATACTGTACATATATAAGTGGTGTTTAAAAAAAAAAAAAAAACGTGTATCCTACTTTCTTTGGTTTGGAAAATGAAAGTCTTTTTCATTAGTTCACTGCATAATGTTTTGTCTGACACCTACCCTGCAGCAGCGGTTTCAGCCATTGAAATAGAAACCGTATAGAAAGGGTTGATTCTTAGGCTGATGGTCTCATTTGCTTTTGTAGGTCATAAAGAAGAATCAGTGTTCATTTTCAATCTGTTTCATGAACAGCTAAAAACTCCTCACAGCAGCTTTAAAGTACTTCAACGTGCAAATGTGTCTGGTTTTTGAATGAGGCACATGGTCTCCTAATGAGCTAAGTCCTGAACTCAGCGATATTTGATCTTTTGTGTCTTATCCCCTCAGTATCCTTCAGTGTAGAGCATTAGAGTAAACATGAGACTGCTGTGTGTTATTCACTGCCACCACATTACCTGATATGTGGTCATTACAGTTTTCCTAAAAACAGCAGTTTGGAGCCTCCACATGCAACATTACCTCGTGCAGCTTTAATATCAGCTCTGAGAAGCGGCTGAATCCAACAGCACAGACACACACAGACACGAGGATGGAGTTCACACAGAGGAATGAAGCGGTGCGCTCGTATTGGAAGAAAAACAGACAACAACGGGAGACGGGGAGGAGAGAGAGAGACACACAGACAGAGGGATCGTCCTTTGTTCGCATCCCTTTCTCTCCCCTCACCTTGTTGGGCTTGACAGCTCTCTGCAGGTTCTCGATCCATTTGTCTCTCTCTGCAGCTGAGCGACACGCAAAGCACTTGGTTCCCGATGCCGTAGTCACCTGAGGTTATAGCCAATGGTAAATTCAACAACCACAGCCATTAGTAACTATGGAGACTGCAAGTGAGGCGCCAAAACAATGTTGTGCATTCACTCTCAACCTCTGTCATGTTGCGCTAATGGAAAGGTGATGGAAGGTGATCTTCTGCAGCAAATTAGGAAGGATCCCTGTTCTTTTTATCTTTGACATGCAAAAAAAATTATTCACACACGAGTCTCTTTCACATCACTGTCACTTGTCAGGAAAAACAATGTATTTTCTGCACTATTTGTGTGTTGTTGTTTTTTTTTTGCTGCTGTTTGTTCACACCGTGCAGGCCTTATTCCTCACCTCAAAGCAGTACTCTTGTCCCAGGATGCTGGAGTGCACAGGTTTGATGATGGCGTCCTCGTCCAGAGTAAGGTCCAGCGCCTCGGCAGCGCTGCTGGGAGACAGCAAGGACTCATGAGAGTGGGACTCTTTGAAGCTTTGCATCAAACGGGTCCTGGGGGGAGGGAGAGCTGTGGTTAGATGTGGAGAGGGGAGGCTTGTTTATTGGAGGTGGCACACGGCGGCTTCAGTTCTGAGTCCAAGAAATTACAGGAAATTTGTTTATCACTGGTGATGCATGAGCCAGACAAGTTCCTTTTGATTTTTATCTTAGCGTACCAACGGCCCTATAAGGAATAAAAGGACCATCAACACGTCCCCAATGTCTGTGTTATGAATGTCTCCTGCCAAGAAGAGATAATCAGGTGTCAGCATCAAACGTGATATGTTGAATTGTGCAAGCTACTCAAACAAAAATGAAATCAACATATACCGACGTAAGCATGCCCAGAGGGAGCTTATGATAGCCAGGAGGCTAGCGCTAACAGTACTGATCAAATGTGCATACGTTGATTTGAATCATATCCTTGGAAGTCCCATTCACTGGGCCTTTTAGGGGCCCAGCTATTTCCACCCTGGCTGGTAGCCTGGTGGTTCGAATCCGACCTGTGGCTCCTTTCCAGCATTTAATTTCCTTCTCTCTGCTCTCGATTTCCAACTCTAACCACTGTCCTGTCTCTACAATAAAGGCATAAAAAGCCCCAAAATAAAAAAAAAAATCTAAATTGCGATGATAAAATGATTTTGCCTTCATTAAGAATAATCCAGCCATCCTCACATCATTCACCTCATCTGTGCTGCTTCTGATTAGTCAGTGAAAGTCGGTGTAAACAAATTATAATGTTAACTTTGTTTAGTATATGCACCTTAAGTAGGAAGTACCACAAAACTTAGCATGAATGGTAAATAGACTTCAAGCTGCTATCGTTCTTTTCTAGTCTTCTGACTACTCAAAGTGCTTTTACTCCGCAGGTCTCACCTACACATTCACACACTGATGGTAGAGGCTGCTGAGTAAAGTGGCTATCAGAAGTAACTAATGTAATCATACACCACCAACAAAGCAGCAGGAGCAACTTTGGGTTAAGTGTCTTTCCCAAGGACACATCGGACATGTGGCTGCAGGTGCTGGGGAACCGAACCCTTGACCTTCCCGTGACTGACTCTGATGACTGACTCTACCAGCCGGCCACAGCTGTCCTGCAAAATATTTCAACAACTTTCTTTCTTCTTACTATAAAAGAGGTTTTTCTGAGGGAAAACAAGAAATTAAAAAGGCATTTATAAATAATCTCTGCACTCTGCCTTATTGTAAACAATGTTGAAGTGTCCACCTCTTGTAAATGAACCATCTGTTACATAATGACATCATTTATTATCATGTTTATTTCAGCAGCTTTTGCACTCCTCGCAACTGCACTGTAGACTTTTGCAGGCTTTTTGTTTCTGTGTATCTGTTTGTTTGATTAAATCTTGAATGTTACACTTTGTTTAGAGAGAGAACAGTTTATTAAAGTCGATTTCCTTGTATGTGTCAGAATACCTGGCCAATAAGCTGATTGTGATTGTGATTAAAACTACTCTATGCTATTTCACTGCATGCAAACAAACAGGTACTTAATGGGGAATATTTGGACAAAAATATAAAGCTAACTTAATGATGTTTCTGACTTCTCAACTTTATCCATTCAGCTGTTTTAGGTGTCGACATATTAGAACCATTAGACATACTGTACATAAATAAATAAAACATTTGTAATTAAAAGCAAATTTTGCCAAATATATTTGAAGAAAACTTTTTTCAAAAAGCGGACAGACTGATAAAAGCTTCTTATGTCACATCAGCTGTTAGCTCAACTTTTAGGAGAATCGATGCTCCTTCACCAAAAGACTTGTTTGAAAAGTAAATTATTGATTCTATCATTTAGGGAGCTACGCACAGATGATATTTTTCACTTTTCGTTTCAGTTTTGCATTATGTGGCTGTCAGCGCAAATCTATTTAATCTTCTACAGTACCTCCAGGCAATAATATTTCAGTGAAACAGTGAAGAAGAAGAAGAACATGAATCCTGAGAGACGTATGCAAAGGGCATCATGCTCACTGACACGCTCACACACACATGCAGGGACAAGCGCATATACAATCACAGACAAGCTCACAAAACAGAACGTCTGTCGACACCGTGAGTCCAACCAGAGAGCCGTGGGGGGGGAGGGGACGGTCAGGTGTGATGAAGCCCCTCACAGAAGAAAAGGAGAATGGAAATGAGAAAAAAGAAAGAAAGAAGGAAATGAAAATGTAAATCCTTAGTGGGCTACTGCTGTCCGACTCTCAGCTTCTTCCTGCTGCTGCGCTCGCTCTGCTTTTGTCTTTGTTCAATCATAATGTTCATCAACAGAGCGCTGATTACATGTGGGGGACCGTGAGGGGAGAGAGAGAGAGAGAGAGAGAGAGAGAGAGAGAGAGAGCGAGAGAGATAAAAATAGACCCAAAGGAATGAGTCAGATTGAAGGAAAAGAAGAGAGAAGAAAGAGTGGGGGAGGTCACGAGTGGATGTGAAAGAAGGGAGGACTGAGAGGAGAAAGGGTGAGGGGTGAGGCGGGGAATGAGGGAGAGGACCTCTCAGAGGAAATCACAGTGATTATGTAAACGGTGGATCCTTTAAAGAGGAGGAAAGTGAGAGCGGGGATTAGAAGGAGAGAGGATGTGTGAGGGGTCGGGGCGCAGAGAGGGATTGAGTGCTGGAGCTTAAAGAAGGTGTCAGTGGGGCGCTGCAAGAGCAGGAAGCGTCGAACAGAAGACGTCGACACACACTCAGGAACACACACCACACACACACACACACACACACACACACACACACACACACATCTTGTAATTCTTCTATACCAACTACACGGCTGAGGAGAGTTGAAGTGGTCCGACAATCAACAATACACGAAGAACTTTATCTGAACTAGTAGAGCTTAAATGATTGCTCAATCAGCCCATCGGCAGAAAATGTATGTGCAACATTTTTGAAGTCGTTTAATCAAGCGGAAAAGTCTGAAATCTGCTAAAACACGAGGATATGCTGCTCTCCTCTGCTGTAATGATACAATAATACATACAATAAAAATCTTTAATGTTTTTTTTAAGTAGGACCAGTGGCGATTCTAGAGTATGCGGGTTCCCTGGGCAAAAAATCAATTGGGGCCCCTCCTACCAGCGTTCATCACCATCATGTCTGCCAGTGTCCCGACGCTTTCTCTGTTTATTTTTTCTCTCTCAGGAATAAAGCATACAACGCTTAGCAAGGCAACAAGAGTGAGCGCTTTGAGATGGGGGCCCCCTTAGGGAGGTTTCCTTCTGTCAGTGCAAAAATGTGCAAGTTTGTGAGCCCTCAGGGGGCCCCCTTACTGGTCTGGGGCCCCAAGTATGACAAAGCAAAACTTTGACACAGCTTTCACATATCTGTCAATGTCTTTTGTGATAGACATTTTAAAGACTTAATGATACATCAATGTGAGGAAAAAAAACAGCAGCAGATTCAATCCAATCCAATCCACTTACTTTATGCAGCTCACTGTGAAAACACAGTAAAATACATTAAACATGAAAAGCAAAAGGAACATTCTAAAATATGTTGATAAAAACACATAAAAACATACAAATTAAGAATAAAAAGACTGAGGGACAGAGACCACACAACGCTCATGCTCCTTTAAAAGCATTGAATGTATATAAATATGGACGACGCATCTCCGACCTTGTGACGTCTTAAGGCGTTTTTGAACCGCAGGAACTTCTTCATAGTTCTAGGAACTGTGGGAACCCTCCTCCTTTTTTATTCATCATGCACCGCAGGAACTATGAACTTTTTTAGCTGCTAGAACCTCATTAAGAGGAACCTTTTTAGCTCCTGCTTTAGAGTAGGTATCATGGAGGTGTGAACGTAGAGAGAAAAGAGTTCCCATGATGTATAGTTTCAGGGAACTCTCTAGTGGATAGTTCCTCTTCAAAAAGTCCCCAGAACTGTTTGGTCACCTATAGTGAGCCAAGACATGTGCTGAAAGGATCTGCTAGGTGGAGAAGCAGAATTCACCGCCCCACCCCGCCCCGCCACAGCAAATATTTAGGTAAGGGATATTGTAAAGTGAGTAGGTTGTTATCACAGGGAAGGTTACTACCAGGGGTGAAAGTAGGCCTGTATGGTTTGGTACTTCATATGACTAATAGATTCAATGACGGTACACAGAACTGGAAAGAGAGGAGCGACGCTGCCTGCAAAAACCTGAATTCAAAACCAGTAACAGTTGCACTTTCAGCAAGAGATCACATGTGCTAACGTTCTGTCATTTTAAACAAAACATATTAATCTCCTTATTAATTGCGTCTAAGTCATTCTGAACTGCTTCTGAACAGTCCGTGCTGTGTTTTGATCCGTACTGGACGACGCTTAGCTGCCTTTCAGTACTGCTAGTTAACGTGAGCACGAGCCTACTCCAGCCTGCTGCCGCTGACTGATATCCAGCGCTGTGGGGTTTTTGGCAAGAAGACGATTAATGCAAAATCTCCAGAGTGAAATGTGTAGCTGAATAAGTTGTGATGTTTCCTGATATTGTGTTTTATTTCCAACAAAACAACAGCAGCTGGGGACGCGACTGCACATGCGCATCTTTCCTCTGATTGGCCAGCTTTGTTTGCAGTTGCAGGGACATTTTAGTGAGCAGGGGTGTGGCCAGGGGTCGCATGGGCCCCCCTAGAAATCTGATTGGCCATCCCAAAAAATCCTAAACTGTGATTTGGCTATTAACCCTGTCAGACTTATGTTGAAACCAATTATCTTGTGTTATAAAGTCGATGTTTTTAGAGTTTAAGTTAGAAAGGGTAAATAGTTTTTATTTATTTGTGGCCACCCCTACATAAGTCAGTGCCCCATTTGGGCCACCCAAGTCCAAAAAGTTTGGACACACCCCTGTGAGTGAGCTTCCGAGTGGGTGTGACGCCGGTAGCCTAGTAGTTAGTGCACGCACCCCATGTACAAAGACTAAAGTCCTCCAAGCAGGCATTCTATGTTCGAATCCGACCTGTGTAATGTCAATCCCCACTCTCTCTCTCTCCCTGATTTCCGACTCTATCCTCTGTCCTATCTCTAAATAAAGCCATAAAAAGCCTGAATATAAAACCTTTAAATGAGCGTGATAACTATGAAAATAAAAGATCTCCTTTGAAGGTAAAATAAACCAGAAAATCTGATGCTAAATTTGAATATATTTGACCATTTCATTCGATTTTTAAGCAAATAATACATAACATTTATAGGTTAATATTCCTAATTAAAAAAACCCTTTGACAAGTTCTCCTATAGCTGTGGTAATTATGACAGGCCTTTAATCAGGGTTTTTTTTTATATTATAGGCCAAATAATTAAAATATGTATAATTAAAAAAGCAGAAAATTAATTTATACACAGTTTTATACTTTACAGGACACAAAATGCTCTAATTTGCATTTAGGTCATCTCAGGACGCTCAAACTCTGCTAAAAAAAAAGAGGCAAAGTTGTACAATATGTTCATGTAAGAGTTAGGAGCTACGATGTATGACAGGGTGACCTACAGTGTAGTAAGAGGAGGAAGCTCGGGGACCCATTAGGCATTTGCAAAAACAATAAGTCACAATAAGAGTTGCAAAAACATACATCACAGCAAGTTTTATGGTTCGTTTGGGAGCACAGAGGGATGTTTATAGCTGCATGAATTTGCTGAAAAAGGCCATGTGTTCTCAGCGAAGTCTCTCTGGGTAAATAAAGACGGAAAAGGGGATTGGTAATGAACAGAGATGCAGATGTTCCTTTTAAAATCTCTGTCAGGAAACATGCAGACGTAACCAGAGCTGTGGAAAGAACCCGAAACAACTTCAGCAGCTACTTGACTTTTGTGTCCGTTCTGCGTCTCCTCAGAGCAGCCGGGGATTATAGACATCTGCAACCTTCCCAAATGAATAAATCATGTGGAAGAGCAGCTTGGCAGACACCTGACTCAGAAAAGGTTTTAGTACTCTCCTGAGTGCACTTTTGCCCTGTGTTTATATTATCAACATGACCTTGTTCACAGAGAAAGTTTGAGTTGGTCGTGTCTGAAGTGGGAGCTTATAGATCAACTGAATAGACAAAGAACATCCTTAAACTTTTAGTCAGTCCTGTGATTTTTAATTAGAAATCAATTTTGATGAGCTATTGGTAGCTAAAGTAATTCTTCAAACACTCTCCTGCTCCAGCTTCCCACTTGTGATGACTTTCTGCTTTTATTTGATGCTTTGCAAACTAAATATCTTTGTGTTTTTGACGGTTTATTGTATAACAAGCAATTCTGATGTCGTCAGGTTTAGGGATTAGGGACATTTAATCGACTAAAACCTTAGACCTCATTACCTTCACGAGTCGACACCAGAATTACAAGATGGTTAACAAATGAATAATACTTTCATATTTTGGCCCTAAATGCCGGTTTAAATGTTATGAGTAAACAACAAAGCAGCCAACAGCCACACGATGAAGCTGTAGCCATAGACTGGCTCTCTGGTAGTTAATGGGCCTGCTCTCCCCGCTCTACTACCTGGATGTAAACAAGCACTGTGAATGGATAGCATCTCCAAGGAGCAGTGTGGGGGGGTCATCACTATGTTCCCTCAGACCTGCATTACCCCGGCATCAGGGCTGGCCCTTCAATAATGCAGATAATGGGTCCTCTTAATTATACTTTTTAACAACATCCGTAGGAATTATTGATTTGGAGGTGTAGATAAAAATCAGAAATATGGCGGATGTCATGGCGGAAATTAACAAACTGTTTAGACAACATGACTTGGAAACCGAACACTTAAACTGTTTTTTTCTTTCATTCATTATTTTTTGTCTCTTTTATTGTTTTACTTTGAAATCTAATTTGTTGAGTATAAACTTAGGTCCAACTTAAATTGGTCTTTTCTTCATCAAACCTTCTTTCAAACTTCCGCACAGTTTCTCTCTCACTTGCTGTTAGCTGATACAGAGGAGGTATAATTAAGCAAATCTCCCACTGACTCATTATGGTCTGTACAGCGACCATATGGCTGACTACTGGTTGCCATGGAGAGAGGGAGACGTTCTATTTTTTTATTTCATGGCCCGGCAGAGGAACAGTGTTAGTGCTGAGTGTTTTAATTATAAGTGACACCGCGGCAGGTCACGAGAGGGAAAAATAAACAACGATTTATAACCATGATGGATGGAGACAGCGACTGATTGTGACTGACGGATGGGTAGAGAGAGGTATAGGTAGATAGAACAACAGAAAGAGAGAACAAAAGGTAGAACGCTCGATTAAGATATGATTCAACATTAAAACCATCGATCGAGACAAACAGTCATCGGAGGCTGTAACCTCTGAAGCCTATACTGTACTCTACAGTAGATAGATATAAAGACAGAACTATGAATAGAACGATAAAACATAGAGACAAACAGACAGACTTTCATGAGAGGCAAGACCATCTGATGACCTGATTCGATATCTACTGTAGATCAAATGATGTAACTGCAGATGGAAGGATTGCACACTGTCTGAATTGGGGGAAAAAAGATTGTTATTTTGCAGTTTAAACATTTAGCAAGAGTTTGCTTGCAATTTTAGTATAAAAAAAAACAAGAAACTGCCTAGTATTGTATTGTTGCCATGGTATTAAAGCAGGTATCGATATGGTTTGATTTTTTTTGTTTACTGGTATCATCCATTCATCCATTATCTTTACCGCTTTTCCCGTGCTGGAGACGATCCCAGCTGTCATTGGGCGAGAGGCGGGGTACACCCGGCCTTGAATGATCGCCAGTCAATCACAGGACTGACATAAAGAGACAGACAACCAGTCACACTCACATACACACCTACGGGCAATTTTAGAGACCTAACAAGCAAATCTTTGGACTGGAACCAGGAACCTCCGTGCTGTGAGGCAACAGAGCTAACCACTACACCACCATGCAGTCTGGTATCATTATGAAGTTTAATATTCAGGAATCGTAACAAACCTTGATTTATGAGATCGATTGATAAATAGATCCAAAGATCAACTAGACTGATGGGGCTGTCATAGCTATCCCATAATGCAATGGGCTACAGGTAAAAGGTTGAGTGCAACGTTTAAGAATTAAAGTCTATAATAGCGCCCCATGGTGTAAGCGAATGAAATATTATTCATGCATTTTGAGATAATACATTTTGACTCTGCATTTGTTGGAAACAGCACGTATTTATATTGTGTACAGATAAAGACGCCTTTTAGATCATAAACTGTATGTAACAGGAAAGCACAACATGACAAATTATAACAAGCCTCCCCCTTCATCATACGTCTAAAATCACTGCTTCTGTGTGATTCTGAATTGGGTTTCACGTTCTTATGAGCACTACCTAGAAGATGACCAAGAAGAAGGAAAAAAGTGCGTTTGATACCAAAACATAGGGAAATATAAAAAAACAGATTTGACTGATTTATGCAAATAGACAGAGATCAACGCAGCGGCACAGCCACAAACAAGCACATTAATCCTCATGTTACTCACACGACGGCTCACTGACCTGTCTTGGTCGGCACTGCGGAAGCGGGGGAGGATCATGTGGCGGAAACTGCTGGTTCGGTCCAGTTTGGGCTGACTCTTGGCCCTCTTGATCGAGCCCTTCAACCTTCTACTGAGGAAACTCTGAACGAGGGCAAACAGATGGAGGCGAGGAGGGAGGACGTGCATGGAGACGTGAAGTTACAGAGAAGGAGTGTGTGATGTGGAGTTAGATAAAGGATGGGTTGAAAGACAAAGAGAGGACACAGGAGTTCGTGATGTTTACATGAAAACAGATGATTCCCATGGAGTCAGTATGGTGTGTGTAGGATGCATAAATCGGATGAAGACACATAAATGAGAGATTTGATGCGAGTGATGGGGGAGAGCACAAGGTACATTTTATTATAAACAAGAAATCATTACACCCACACATGTCCACTGACACAGAGGGGCGCAGTGTGGTATCAGATCCTGTGGTGGGCAGTGGTGAGCCACAAGTCCGACAACAAGCTCAGCCGCACAAGTCTCACACGGTGGGTTCAGTTTGTCCTACATGAGCTTCCTTACATGATCAAATAACACAATATTACAAGCTGCAACAGGAACCTTTTCACTGGTGCAGGAGAACCTGACTCTGGGTTTTGTCCCAATACCCATTCCTACTTTATTTGAAGGTATTTAAGTGTGTACAGTTGTGTGATTTGTAGTTCGACAGCCTGGAACCATGACTAAAGGAGTTGTTTTTTTTAGAGTTAACTGGTCACCCTTCATCAACAGAAAAATCAAGTGACCCACATAAACACACTCTGCAAGGAACAAGTTAGCTTGGATGAATTGTTAGAACAAGTTTGATTCCACACAAGCATCTTGGACAGTATTTTCGGGACCTTTTTAGATCATGGCATCCATTCATTACAAAAAATTGATGTTAGAAATATTGCATTGACCTTTGCCATTGTATCAAATATGATAAGGTAAACTAACGCTACCCTTGGCCAGTCCTTGAGGCACTTTGAGGACCAACAATAAGAAGACTGAAGGTCTAAGGACATTAGAGAATTATAAAAAAATGATAGTTGTTTATAGTTGTAGTTTAAAAGAGGTCACTTTTGAGTCGTACTTGAGATCGGTCTTGGACTCGAGACCACATTTTGAAGGTCTTGGTCTCAGCTAGGAATCAAAAGCATTTTTGTATCGGTCTCAGACTGGGCGGACTCCGGATTTTAAATCAAGATCACCACTGATAGGCTATTTTTCAAGTCAACACTGTGATTCGAAGGAAGACGCCCCTTTCTAAAGTAACAAATAACTAATTTGATTTTTCATCCCCCGGTTACACCTGCAACCTTCCCGCTGTTACGGTCTAAATTAGGGACACGCCCCCTGCACACACGGTGATGATTTTTCAGTGATATTTATGGTTATGGTCTTGTCTCGGTCTCGGTCTCGGTCTCGCTTGTCTTGTTCTCTGAGTACTCTGGTCTCAGGTATGTCTTGGTCTCGTTTACTGTGGTCTTGACTACAACACTACTTTTAAGTGTATGTCCTGAAAAAACAAAGGGTAGGTATATAATAAGGCACCTTTTCACTCAGTTTAATCCCTCAATGCATTTTGTCTGTGATTGAAATAGAATAGATCTTTATTGTCATTGCTATAAAAAAAATGAAAGGCACTTTAGCAGCTCATTGTCAATGGCAACGCAGATAAAACATAAAGACATTAAAATCCTACATAATAACTACTTTTATGTCACAAACTGTTGACACTGATTGAAGTATACTGCTTGACTAGTAGTGTACTACATTTGAATGGTTTCTGTCTGATTTATTAGAAGAATGGAAGGCACAGTTTTCTCTCATCTCTAAAGAGCTCAACAGTATGCAGTGTCCCGTTCATTTTCTCCATAACGCATTTGATTATTATTATTGATATCAACCTCGTTTTAAGAAAAAAGTTGGTTAATCATAACCTCGGGGAAAAGAACTACACAACCCACAACCCTACAGTGTCACAGGGCCATCTCTGATTTGTTGAGCACGCTACCATGGAGATGTTTACCGCACCCAAGACATTCACCTGTTGGCACAAACTTGTAAAATATTACAACATTATTATGAACTTAAAGATGAATGTTGAAAGAAGGTCCATGTACGTTCAGAAAGAAGCGGCTAAACTATCGTTGGTTTGGTCTCGTTGGAATTGCAATGGATTGTGGGATGTGTAGTTCCTTCACTTCTTGAAAAATATATGAACCCAGTTTTTTTACCTTTTCCTTTATTCTATTTTCCAATCATCGTTTTTTTTGGTGCCCAATCAAATGTTTAATAGTCACAAGTATTCGAATAGCTGGTTGGCTTGGTTACAGGATTAAAAATATTTATTTTCTAAAATCTCAATGGAGGATATGATCTGGAAAATTTAATTCCAGAACCAGAACCGCCAAAAAAGTGAGCGTTCACTTTTGAGCTCCATGGAAAGGAAAACTCATACTTACACTTGTTTTATCTTAACAGTGATATTATTTCTAGTCTTTGATAGTCGTCTCTGAAGGTTTCAACATTTATTGGTAGAGTTTGGGACTTTTAACTTCTTCCTGTCTTCTGAATATTGTTGGTCCTCAGACCAGCCTAAAGGTAAGTTACCACCAAAAAGTGGACAGGTTTAGCACAAGCAGGACTTCTCGTGTGGTTATTGGGACAGACGTTAGTCTGCATGACAATCCCACCCTTCGATGAAACATTTGTCTAAAATGAATGTACGAAAAATATTAATGAAAACGAAAAACAAGCAGGATAATATCTTCATAATTTACCTTCTTATCTTCTACATTTCGAGATCAGTATTCCATATTTCCAAACATGGTGTCACTTCTTTGGCCAAAAGGGAAACAAGGTGGAAAAGATTTGACATTTCCTACCTTAATGTGTATTTAACACCCACTCAATTGCATTTTTTAATCTTCACCATGACATCACAATGTTTGTAGACTATAAATGTCAATTTTAAAAAACTGTTTTCACACTCCATACCTTGAAATATAAACTGTGGAAGGTGACTTTAGAGCTCCAACATGCATGAAATATCACTGTGTTTTTTTCCTACTGAGCCATCAAGAGGCTTTACTCCATTAGCTGTAAGTTGCTTATTGAAGAAGCAGTCATAATGTTTGTACACCTTAAGCATGAAAACATTATACGGTGGGGGGTTGACTGGAGGAAATGACACCTCGTCATCCGGCATGAGTGAAATGGCTTTGAAGCCTGTCTAGAGGTTATGACTAAAGACTTGGCTCCATCTGCTGGTTCCCTGCTAATAGCCTGCATGACTAAATCTGATTTGATTAGCCGCTCCGTCTGACACTTCAAGTCTCACAAACTTAAGAGCTTGAGAAGGGGCAGAAAAGCCTGAATCACAATAAACAGCAGGGAGAGAGGGAGGGAGACGGGGGGGGGACCTCATCCTCAGTGTTTGCTCAGCTGCTGCTCACCTGTAGGTTCATTTCAGGTGATAAAAGAGAGGACTGGTGTCACTTAATGTTGCAGCTTATCTGAGTTTATCTATATTAAGCAGCTATATGTAAATGGTGAATCAGTGAAACAGCAGGATGTTGAGTTTATCTTCAGTCTCCGGCACAGTGTGAGTTGCTTCCTAATACCTTTACTCAAGTACAGGATGTGTAATTTACTTCAGTATTTAAATGTTAAGTTCCTTAATTTAGAGGAGAATATTGTAGTTTTAATTGGTTACGTCACCGATAACATGAAAACAAAAATGGCTTTTACTGCCTGCTGCAGTATCTATCTGCTCCTGGGAATTTTTTGTGTGCTATTAAAGTAGGTGTACTCTAAACCCAGAGGAAAAAAAAACACTAGGCCCGACCAATATGGGATTTTTGGGGACGATACCGATGTCAATTGGGGAGAAAAAAATCTGATACTGATATATCGGCCGATATCTTTCTTAGATCTATGAAATCTTTAGAGACAGATATAAATTGACACATTTATTGCATTGATCCCTCAAATGCAGTTATCAAACACAAGTAGCTGAGCATGTACGTGCATCACCACTTAACACTCTGGAGAGTGATGATGCTTGTTGTAATCCATACAGCGCCCTCTGCTGGTGAAAGAGAACTGCTAGTGTAATATAATAAAGTTCAAATGAAATGCTATTTGACTGGTGAATAAATAGAGTAATGTTGGCTCATATCTGCCATAAAATTTGCCGATACTGATAGTCACTGGATAAGCTAATATCAGCCGATATCATCGGCTGGCAGATTAATCGGTCGGGCTCTAAAAAAAACAACCTACAGTATGTATTCTCTAGACTATTTCCAAGCGTCTTGTAATTCTACCCCCAAACTTCACCTGGAGGATAGTCACAAAGCAGTCAGTGATTGTCAAAAAAAACTTCACCCTGTGACTCTACTTACCACGCTTTAGGCTTTCTCATCCAATCAGAGAAGCTGAAATATTCATAGTAAACACCTATCTGCGCTCCTGTCAAATAAAATGAAATGCGAGCTAAACTGAGACTTTGCAGCTACTCAAGAGGACTTTTTGGGTTTTATAATTTTAACTCTATTAAAGTTGTTATTTTTTTCACTCTGCACCAGCGTAAAGCAGCAAATACTTTCAGTGTCAAAGGAGGAACACGGGTCCTGTTCTTTCCAGTTCCAGTGACAGTGTGCAAACAGCAGCAGAAACAATAGAAAAGAGATGAGCAGCATAGAGCACTGGCACAAAACTCATAAAGGCACCAATCTATCCTTTTAGCCCTTTCATGTGCACGTTTGATACCTTCTGATTGAGTTTCTGTTGCCATGAATAAAACAATAAACAGATTATTTCTGTCCTCAGACACAGAATGTGTTCGGCTGCCAGCTCCGCTCTCCTCTTTGATTGAAGCCGTCTGAAGTATGAAAAAGGTTCATGACGATCCCAGGAGTAACAGTGACAGCACAGGTTTAAAAAAAAAAAAAATTGTTTCTCCTTTGTTGGCATTTAAGAATCGCACCAGGTTTGAGATCAATTTACTACAAGTCACTGTTACTTTAACCATAAAGTAAAGCAGACATCCATTGATGTTCAGTCATTTCAGAGAGAAAGATGAACGTTCTTTTAGCAGACTTTGAAACAAAGATGATGAAAAATTACCTTTGCTAATGTAATTACTGGTTTCTTTTTCTGTTTCCACCTGCAGTTCTGCTTGTCTGTTAAGGTTGCTAAATAATTAATTGAATTGAGAATGTTTTGTTTTTTATTCATTTACAAACGGGTTGAAACTCTATTATCAGACTTTGAAGCTTGATTGGATTGTGTATTTCATTTAATCGAACATAACGTCTGTTTTTACTCGTGTTTCTTCCTGAATTGTAAAAAAATATTTTTAAATGAATGAACTTTAATCACATTTTGTTCTATAATTAGTAGTTTAATCCAGAGTTTTCTAACGTGGCAGAGGATTTTCCTCGACATATTCTCAAAGTTCTTCTGCTTTAAGAACTTAATGGTGATGTTTTAGGATTGCAGATAATTAAATTGACAAATTGTAGTGCAACCTTTTTAGATCAATCAGCACTTCAGCTGCATTCAAGAAAATCACTTTGGCAAGCCTTAATCCAAATTACAAAATTCAAGTACGTTTCCTGCCGTTGGGAAATGAAGGGAGATCAATGGATGTAGAAAAAAATAAAACATAGCATGCATTTGAAAACAGTGAATTTGTATTGATGGAGTTAAGTGTGCAGAGCCCCCCGGTTAGGCCCTGTAAGAAACACAGTCCTCATAATGCTGTGAAAAATAAAGGTTAAAGATGTTGTTAAATTTGACACTTTTTTCACCTCCACCAAATGATCGGACTTTTGAAACATACATGTGAACGTCGCCAGTGTCTCTGCTTCAGCCATGTTTGTGTCACATACCTCAACAGGGGGCAGTGGTGAAATGTACGCTCCTCCTGCCACTGGACTCGAACCGGCAGCCCTCCAATCTCCGCCCCAGTAAAAGAAGGGGGGGGAGGAGTAGGAGGCGGCAGGCGAGTGGGGCAGGGTGTAGGACAGGGAGGGGGAGAGGGGCAGCGAGCGGGGCATGGGGGGAGTGCCGGCCCCTTTCTTGGAGCCCTTTTGCTGCTGCTGCGGGTGCTGCTGCTGGCGCAGGGCGAGGGACGGGGACACGGTCAAGGAGAGGGGGAAAGGGTGAGGCGGGGTGCCGCTGGCCCGGCGGCCGCAGGTGTGCGGCGGGCCCAGGGCGGGAGAAGGGTAGAGGGACAGCGAGAGGGACGGAGGGAGCGAGCGAGGCCGGGGATAGGGAGGGTTACTCACGGGTTGTCGGAAGGGTTGAAGGGGGGCAGTGGGAGGGACCTCCATGCTGGGCTGCTTCCCGGTGGCTATGCTCTTCCGCCGAGCGCGATGATCTAAGAGAGCGAGAGAGAGAGAGAAAGAGAGAGAGAGAGAGAGAGAGAGAGAGAGAGAGAGAGAGAAGGAAGAGGTCGATAGGTGAGTCTCTGATACACATCAGTGAAAAGGAAACATCATACCAAATGAAGACAGGACGGAATATTACAAAGCTGAGACGCAGGGAGAGCAAGAGGAAGTGAAGAGAGAGAGAGATGGAGCCCATTGTGGAAACTAACAGCGGCGACAGAGCGGTTATTGACAGTCCGCCTGAAGGAATGAAAAAGGCCAGGAGAGAATATGAGCGCTAGATAGAGGTCAAAGGTGAGCGAGGCAGAAATAAAACCATACAGGGTCACACCCATCCACCAGCAGAAGCACAAATACGCCTTCATCTGTGCAGGAGATGAGGTTGAGGAAGTGGGCGAGAGACTATTTGAGGGATAGATTTTCTGTCTGGACTTCGGATGAGGTGAATGTTAACAGTGTGTATGCTGGGAGGAGGAGGTGAGAGGGGAGGGGCTGGAGGATGCAGAGATGGAGGGGAGTGAGCATTAAACAAACAAAGCCTTTTATTGACTTCCGTCAGTGAGTCGCTGCCTAATGCACTGAGCTGGTCAGTAAGGGAATAAACTCCTGTCCTACACTTGATTGATGACGGAGAGAGTTTAAATGTGAAGTTAGAGAACACAAGAAACAACACACAGGAGGACTGCTTGACCTGGCTGGCCTGTTTATCCACTGCAGCGCTGACAGATTTAATTAAAAAAACTGTACAATGTTGCCTTTATATAATCTCTGTATCGACAGCCACAAGCAGCCCTTCACAGACTTAAATCACAAAACTCTCCGTGTTTCTATCCAACTCTAGAAAGGTTGTTTGCCACAGACTAAATCTCTGCGATCGCGGTGTAGACCTGCTCTGTTTGCAAAGTGTCTTCAGATAACATTTGTTATGAATTGGTGACATAAAATAAAATGGATTTGCTTTGCGACAATGAAACTGTCAAATTTCTGCAACAATATAAAATCAACTTAGCAGAAGATCTGGTTCGTCTGACTTCTCTTGGGCTCCATCTCAAGTCCATCCTCAAACTTAAACTGGTCCAGAACTAAATATCCAGCTTAAACATTGCATCAACTTCTAAATTCTGCTCCTCACCTTTAAGGCCATCCATAACCTCGCTCCTCTGTACCTCTCTGAACTCCACATCAACACACCCACCCGCACTCTCAGGTCTTCTTCCATTAAACTCACCGCACCACCTGCCCGCCTGACCACCATGGGGTCCAGGGCCTTCAGCCGCTCTGCAAAGGGTCACCTTTCAACATCTACACGTGCCTAGCTTCCTCTTCATGATAATTCTTTCTAGATGATGAAATTAGATTTTCATTTATTGTGTTTGATTTTCATATCCTATTTTTCCGTGATTATTTTGACGACTGTGTATTTGATACGTAGATTTCAAGGTGCCAAGAATTTGAAACAAGTTTGGTTGAAACTTAAAAGCAAATCTTCCGAGGTGCCAGATAGCCTGGCGGTTATGATGTACGCCCCATGTACTGAAGCTGTGGTCCTCGTCGCAGCGGCCGCGGGTTTGAATCCGACCTCTGCCCTTTGCTGCATGTCATCCCCAACTCTCTCCACCAAAAACACTTCCTGCCTCTCCTCAGCTGTCCAATACAATAAAGGCAAAAATATCTGAGTTACCATAAAATTGGCAACACACAATAAAAGGCGCAAATCTTCTATCATCGTCATTCGGCACATTTGGAAACCACAGCCACCTGTGAACTTTGTTGTGCTTTTCAAAGCGGTGTGGACCTGCTGGTGGAGCTAGATGAAAAGTCAACCTGCTCATGGTGTTGTCAGATCATTGACAGGCCTGTTACCAAGACCATTTAAATTGTTTCAGAGGGGGCCAACTTCACTTAAAGGAGGACCAGAAGATATGTGAGTTTATAAAGCAACAGGTGGAAACGGACCTGGTTATGAAGGGTCACTGCATTGAACACCCGGTGCACAAGTTGTAAGAGGGTCTCAGTATGGTTAGGGTTAAGGCGCTTAAACTTTCTGGTAAGGTTGATAAAAACAATGATTGTGTTTTAGGTTGAGATACACTACATGAAAGTAACGATCGATAAAGGAAGTGAGGAAAGTGACTTTTGTCAGAAGAACTCAAAGGTTGGTCCCACCCTGGTTATCTTGGAATGGAACATTTTCAGGAAGATTTAAGGACAGCTGGCCGCACACCCATCAAAATGTCAAGGTTTGTTCTGTGGTATGGGAGGGAAAGAGGGCGGGGGTCTCAGGAGCGTAGATGTAAGCGATGGCAGACGCAGCATTAGAGTGTATCGCCTTGATGACAGCTTTTTGCCTTTTATATCGCTACATGTATTTGGACATATTCAAAGAATGTCTTGATTGCACCAGTTTGGCACAGGACCTAAAGACAATTTCAACAAAAATCTAAAAAAGTGTATCTGGATAAAATAACCAACCCTGCCTTTAAGTCAACTTGAGATTGCTTTAAGCGGTGAGCGTGGTTAGAAAGGATTAAAAAACAAGATTCTAGCTTCGACTCCACCTCCGCCCCCACACTGAATAATCTGTTCAGTTATCAGAAGTCGTCAGCATGTAGCAAATTTCTACAAGATGAAGAGGAAATGGTTCCTTAAGTAACAAAGCCTGGACGACCACCGATGATAAAACATGATATTCATGGTATATTGATCATCTCCAGGGTGAAACCAAACCCGGATTTACATTGTTGCACATTTTGGTCTCTCACTGTTTTCTTTCTCAAGTCTATATCTAGTTTTATGTCCTCCATTTATTTTATGTTCTCCATTTATTTTTAGCTCGGTCAAAGAAATGTCCACAGGGCGATAACCTTCAAGCAAAAAATAAGTTGGGTGCATCCTCTCGTTTGTTCGTTCTTGTCGATTTCTCCAGCCTGACTCTGCCATGTTCATCATGCTGTCTGTCTTTGCTTTTTTTCCTTTTTCCTTTGCTCTCAGCCTCCTCTGTCACACAGTCACACTAATACTCAGACACACACACACACACACACATACGCCTCTCCTCTCCCACGCAGCTACTTTACATAATTCAAACAGTGCATTTATCCCTCTACCTCTCTTCAGCCTCTGATACTTCTCTCTCTCTCTCCTCTCTACACTTTCTCCTTGTTTTCATACCGTCCTCTCCTTCAGATTCACTGTGGCATCTAGAACCCTCCATCTTCTCCTTATTACCTTTATCTGTATTCCCCTTTTTCTCTCCCCCCATCTGGCCCTTTTCCTCTCGCTCGCTTTCATTTACCTGTCCAAATGGCAATCTTTTTTCGCCGCCAGCCTGCACGTCTCTCTGTCTGCAGTCCTAACATTTTCTCCAACCCACGCAAGCGGGAGAAAAAAAAGGATGACCGGTGAGCTGTTTGTCGGCCAGCCGAGACATCAAACTGTGCCAGGGTCTCTTTGCCCATAGCTCCCACACTACCGTATCAAACTCTGGAGGCAGGGTGACTGACTGGTGGAGGAGTCTGTCTAAATTAAATTCCAGAGAGCGGGGATCTTACATGAGAAGGTTAGTGACAAATCACAGGGGAGGGGAAGTGAAAATCAAGCTTTAGTTAAATGCCAAAACTGAGAAGGTTTTTGACCGTTTATTGACATTTCATGAAGTTCATTTTGGTGGAATAACAGTTTGGAATTCGGTTACAAAACTTTAATTAGCAAAATGTTAAACCTATGATGTCAAAACGAAGATAATGATACGGTTGGTAGGCGGTTCATTTGAAGCAGCAACCTCTGGCGTTAAGAGATAGACAGAAGATAGCTAGAAGACAATGCAACTTTTTGTTTTGATGATTTTAAGGCTAAGAGGTATTTCATTCTTAATCATGGGTGCAGGTACAGTAGGTTGACTGACAGGTGGCCGCCTCTCTGTCTATTACTAAAACGACTAAAAGTTAGGTAGAGTTAGCATTGAAACTAAGCGACCAGCATTGCCCAGAGTTTCCACGAGAATCGTGCACGCCGATCAATCCCTCTCTCTAGTCAATGCTCATGTTTCCACTGCACACACGTGTCCATTTTCGAAAGTGACCGCTGCAAGCACGCCTCAAACTGGACAGATCAGATCGACCCGGAGAGGAAGTCAGACAAGAGGAAAGCACAGGACATCCGCTCGATTTCAGAATAAAACACAATTTACAGACTCCTGATCGTATATCCCATTACTTTATCAAAACTGTGTCAAAACAGGCATCAAATGAACAACATGTCAGCCTTGGAAAGACAAAGTTTCCTGTTGTTTGCGCGGGATGCTCATGGCTGTGCTCTGCTGCGGTCAGGCTTTGGCAACAGACCCTGAACAGTGGGGTAGGATGCGTGCCCTCAGATGGAGCAAAACCACTGCACGCATGGTTACTGTGGAAACAGCCAGTTGGGCTTCATAACTGCTCTTAGGTAACAAATGCGGGACGTCACAGAGACTGCGTCCATGTTTTATACATTATGGCTTATTAAGTAGTAAGTGTAAGTAAGACATTTTCAAAAGTGTACCTTCAGTTTGGAGATATTAAGTAAGTTTTACCTCCTGACCTTTCCTTCAAGATGTCCTCTTCTTTCCTCGCCCTTTCTTCTTGTTACTCCGCAAGAAGTGTTAATTACCAGCGATCGTCATGGGTGACGCCCTGCACAGCTAGAGGTTGAGCCATCATTATGTCTGCATCAGAACTGCAGCCATCTCACTGAGAAGGCCTCAGAATAACGACGTCAAGATCCACTTCTGAATATATTGTTTCTCAAACTAATTAGCTTCTCCTGGAGGAGCAGATTGTGCCGAGGAGAGAATGGTGATTTAAGACTTAACTGGCATCAGTACTACTGTAAAATAAAATAAAGTGTGATCCGTCTCTGTGGTTTTAGCTATAGACGGTGAGATCAGGGAAGAAAAAAACAAGCAGTCTGTGAGTTCTTGTGCAATCCAAACCCTCTGGGAGGGGTAACATTT